TCATACATGTTTCATTAAATAATATAGACAAGTGTTGTCTATTTATCTTTTGTAAATTCTTTTCATATCGTCTGATAAGCTTAATAACATTATCATTAAACGAAAAAAGAAAATGACAATATTGATACTTTTTTTAAAATCCAATCTAAGCTTTCGGCTTACATAAGCCATTATCAAAGATTGTCAATTACAGTACAATATATTAAGCAATACACGGACAAGAACGTGATGATAGTCTGTTTCTGTTTACCTGGATGATTTCCAAGCAACGATAAACACGTGCATATAAGACGCTGGAAGCGAAAATCGCACCGCAGCTCATGACGTTACACATGACCACGCGTGAATTAATTCGAGAAGTATTAAGTATGGAAAGCCGTTGGTATAAACCAATGGCTTCTGTTACCAATTATAGACATTTAAGAATATTTGCGGAGATTTCATAGTTTATTTTGTTCAGGTTAGGTTTCAACTGTTTTATAGCTTCAAGAATTTTTAGTTTTTGTTTATTGTTTTCATGTTTAAGTATAATTGTGTATTTTATAAGGATTGTGTATTTTATAAGGATTTTACTGAATTGTATGCGGCCAGGCATGTTGTTTTAAATACCTAAAAAATGTTAGAGTTTTCATTCAAATGTAGTGTCAAGCGTCGGGAAAGCGAGTTTTGGTGTGACCAAATATATATATATATATATATATATATATATATATATATATATATATATATATATATATAACAATGAGGTCAACGCTACTTCACGCTAGAACGCAATCTTCAAGCCATTGCATCCAAGCATCAAACAGATTGTCACCGCTCAGTGTTGATCTCAGTATCTACTCTTATATTTACATGCACTTTATCCGTGATATTGAATATTTTACGCATAAATATTGCTTGACTATTACATATATAAACTGCATGTAACAGCAAAATTGTCAAAATCATGTAAATGTTTAATATGTAAAAAAAATCACTAAACTAATTATGGTTCTTTTTTCCAGGTCTTCAATTTAGACGTTTAGCCATCTTGACACTATTTATTGTAAGAATCACTGAAAATCTCTGAGTTAGTCAGTCAGAAATAGAACAGGTTAAAATCGTTTTGTGCCAGCCCCACTATATCGTACCAACAGAGCAATGGTGTGAGGAAAATGACCTATCCGGCCTTTAGTGATGGTACCAATATTCATACTTTGAGTTTCTTCTTCAAAGTCCATTCAAAAACGACCAAGAAAATGGTGAATAAGTTTAAAAACGAGGGAACAGTAGATAGGAAAACTGGTCACAACTGCAAGAGGGATCATCATCTCAACTTAGAACTAAATACCTTCTTATTGTTCAGAGTAGAGTCCAATAGTGTTATAAAAACCTCGGAGAATTCCAGTAGCATATCTTTAATCATTTCTAAGATACAATGGTTCAAAGCTTAATCTAACAATTTGATAATTTTGCTTTTATACGATTTAGGCAATTATTTTGCTGTTACACCCGGTATATATATATATATCGTAGGCTCGATCAAAATTTGCTGTAGACCCCGTATACACGTGGTCGGGTAGCTGTCTACCTCCCCGGACGAGACTCTGCCCTTCGGCATAGCCTCGTTTGGGTTCCTCTCTGCCCGAAGGCATAGAGTTCGACAATCTTAGCTGGAGACGAATCTCTAACTAATTCCCGAAGCAAGCTCCCACGTATATTCTGTATATTCTATATATATATATATATATATATATATATATATATATATAAAAAATATAGTCTTAAGGTGTGCTATATTTATGGGATAAAGTGCTCAATATCAGAGATAGAGCGTGTGTAAAAATAAAAGTGAACATAGAAGTCAACACTTAGAGGCGACAGTCTGTTTCATGCTATATGCAATCGTCAGGCCACATATATCAGTATATATATATATATATATATATATATATATATATATATATATATATATATATATACTGATATAGTCAGACCAGATAGGCGGTAGGGGTGTGGGACATTCCATTACAGCAGAGGGATTTCAGAATTTGACACCCACAAGACATGTTGAAAGCAAATAAAGTGGCAGGAAACTGGAAGTAACCTACTTAACCATATTACGTAATTCAGTGGCAAAAAAGAAACTGGGTGTCATAAAGAGATAAACATTGCTATAATAGGAAGTTGTGGAGAGCCATGATCATCCATGATCTGAAGTGTCACAACACACGAAGAATAGTGTCACAACTAAAACATTAGAGACAAAGATAATAGTGCTCAAATTTTATGTAATATCAAATATTATATAATTTTAATATATATCAATATATGGAAGTGAATGCCGGACGGTTTTTTCATAGATAAAGAGGAGATTTGAGCCAAGATATGGTTCCAGAAAAGGATAATGAGACAGAACAGGTAAGCAACTAAGAAATTTTTTTAAAAAATAAGAGAATAAAGGATACTTGTTCCTCGAGTCAGAAAGAAACAGTTGATATTTCTAAAACACATAATGAGAAAAGTGGGCTTAGAGAATTTGACTCTGACAAGACGTAATGAAGGCAAAACAAGTAAATGGAATTAGTGAGTAACCTACTAATTACCTTGTGTAAATGGATAGCAGAACAGAAACGGAGATATTGCAAGAAGATAAACATTATTTAGTCCTGCTAAAAGATAGGAAGTTGTGGAGAGTCATATCCACCAACATTTTGAAGTGATAGGACGCGTAAAAGAGCAAGAATCGGTTAACGAATTAAGACACCGAAATAAATGACATCTTCGCAATACATATTAATTTTAATTTAATGTCGCCATCGTTATTTCTACCATGAAAATAATTGCGGTTTCTGTTAGTCTTGTCGGCTATAACACGTTCGTAAGCGTTAATCAATTGCGATCCGAGAACAATTTTTAAATATCTGAAAAAATAAATCCCGGGTTTGGGTATTGTTAGATCGATAAGGAAATCGGCTGCGAATGGCATCCGGCGTTTACCGACTTCTCATTCCATTTAGAATTTGATTGGTAAGTGAATACACTTTCAAATCGATTCTGGCTAATGTCCAGCATTAAAAAAAAGTGACTCGCTAGAGAATCAACTTGACGCGAAGCCATTTTAAATAATGTCCCGCAAACGGCGTCGATTTCATTCCCTTTTGATTAGGAAAGGGGATCAAACGCGTCTGGCCTTTTAAATACATTTGTTGCATAATTATGAAGGCTCCTAGGGTTGAGGACCCTACTGTGACCCAGTGATAAAAAAATGTTTTGTGAGAGTTTAATTATTTTGAGTGTATGCTTATGCTTTTTGAAATCATTGCTGCAGAAATATAGAACTTGTCTACATGCCATTCATTTTTCACTCGTTTTCTTTTTCACCATGATTTTCATCGCAACGCTCAGGTCGTTTTGTTTATTCTAAGACATTTAGGCAAACGGGATTGATAGGAAAGAAAGAACTAAGATCTAACCCTGTACCTCCTGTCATTGGGGTCCTGTCTGAAAAGGGACGGCGTTTTCCAGGTAGGGCTACACGATCCCAATTTCACGTACCACTCTTTTATTTACAATGTTTTTCTCGCAAACGTAATAGACTTCAGTTGAACGAATTTCTAAGATAAAATAATATGTTTATCAATTTCAGATTATTTTCCCAACTTAGGTTGTTCAGAAAATAATGCTGGTTTTCATTCATTATTTAATTATAAATAATTATTATTTAATCATTATTTTAAATGACAGATCTTACTTCAGAAGAAGTTTTAGTAGTCATTTTATTATTAACATCATGTTATTTACGTATTATTAATGTTAATAGTATTAACCAATGTTATTAACTAATATTAACTAACTAATATTTAAATATTAAATTACCATTTACATTTGATATTTAAATGACTATTTCATTTGATATCATTTACCATTTATTGTTAAATGTTTTTATTGGTAATTTTTTTTTAATCGATAACACCCCAAGGAAGGCTGTAAAGCCACTAAGACACAATGGATTACAGGGTGTGGACGAGTTAAGAACAGAAACATTAATAATGAGCGGGAAGGGGAAAGAGTAATCAAGAGGATGGAAGATAGCGATTGACATTGCACTTAAATTTTTGCTAATTAAAGTAGGCTGGAAAGGAGAAGTGTGAGAAAAGAAACTATTAGCATAGAACATACGGCTACATCTTCGCCAGCTCAACTGTAAATTGATGAGACCACAACGCCAGTCTAGTACTGCGCTTAAATTCAAAAAGTCTAGGTTCCACAGCGAAGAGCTCACTCATTACCATGAAAATATTTATAGAAAAGACACAGAGGGGCAACCTTACGCCGGTGGGAAAGTGAGTAAAGCTGAGCCGCCACATCAGGACGAATAATATTTCTGATTTTTCTTTAGATTTTATCAAGGAGCTCAAGGTGAATAGCAGGAATACCGGACTATATGTGGCAGTAATATTTTAAGCATGAACGAATGTAAAATAGATTCTGGAGATAAAAATTGTCTCACCTCGGTACAGTGAACCAATGGTTTTATTGGTAAATTTAACGGTAAATGGTAAATTGGTAAATACCATTTACATTTAATATTTAAATTAATATTCAGTGATATTATTAATGTTATTAAATAATATTATTAATTTAATATTATTAACGTATTAGTAATCATGGTATTAACGTATTATTAATGTTATTCAAATTCTACACATCTTGACCAACTTGATAAAAATGTAGTTATTCCTGTAGCAGAGAAGTTTACGAAGCAACAAAATCGAAGATATTTTGAACAGCAACTGAATCATTGAAAACTATTCTTTGTAAGAATTTGTCCAAATGTTAGAAAGATTTGTAATCAATTGATGAGATGTCAGGTGAGTCAGGTGGATGAGGCAGTTTCGTAGCCTAAGTGATTCAGTTTCTGTAACGTTCGTTGTGCAACATGTCGCTAAGCACTGTCGCACAAGAGGATTGGCCCATTTCTTTTGACAAGTGCTGGACACATTTGCTGCAGTTCTTTTATGCCTTTGATTGATTTCTTGGCAATACTTCTCAGCATTGATCATTTCACCAGCATTCAGAGATCTATGGCGAATCAATCCACAGCTTTAGACCACCAAACAATCAGCATAACTTTCTTATCTTGGTTTGGTTTGTTTAGAGGCATATCAGCTCCTTATGTGTCATTTAATACCGAAATTTAATTTTCTTGGGAGCTTTGGTAATTTCTTTTTCAAAAATGGATTGCTTGTAATTTGTTTTACTATAAAAATGGATTGCTGGTATTCCCACTACAAAAATGTATTTTCATACTTTCATTAATGTTTTAACCCCAGTTTGGGCGTTCACTACTGCCCATAACTGGGACCCCTAACAGGTACTACTACACTGGGTCATGGTGAACCTGAGAACGATAGCAATTAAGAGATTGTTCCACCTTCCAATCAGAAACCTTGATGTCGGCTGTAGTTTATCATCATACCCAGGATTATTCTTATCTTGGACGGTGTTTAGGAATTGCCTTTAAATTAAACCATTGCCCTGAACGTCGTCTGTTGTCATATAAGATCTATTTCTCAATACATGGCACAAGACGATCGAAAATTTGGTCATTTTTGTTGCGCAAAAGAAGAGCCAAACCGACTTCATAATGACGATTCTTTTAGTTTTCATTCAGTTCGTGCGGTACCCACTTGTTCAACTTTTTAGAGTTTCCAATTTTATTCAAATGTTTAAAAACTGATCCATTACTTGAACCTAGCTCGAGGAAATTGATCCAATATTTGAACCTGACCGAAGATTATTTTTTTTTATTATTTCCGATCTATGTAATTTATTTAACGTTCGTAGAATACAGAAACGGCCTAGGAAATGCGATTAAAAAAAAAAAGAAAAAAAAAACGGACAAAAATAATAGGAAAGAAGAACTAGATAAAAATAACTGAAAACCGGAAAGAAAATGTAGCGAAAAATAAGACGAAAAACAAAACTGAAAATAATATGAAAGAAAAACTTAAATATAATAAGAAAAAAATAAACCACCTAAAATATCATGTGTTAAATCTAACTAAAAATAATAAGAAAACCCGATAAAAATAAAATGTTTTCATAAGAAAATACATTAAAATAATAAAAAAGAAAATCTAGCTAAAGATTATACGTAAGAAAAAAATATCTAAAAATAAAATAAAAAACTAGCTAAAAATAATAAAAAGAAAATGTAGCTAAAGATTATATGTAAGAAAAAATATCTAAAAATAAGGTGAAAAATACTAGCTAAATGTCTTCATCTAAGAAATTCCGGCAATTTATATCTTAAATTTTTTGGATCTTGATCAAAATAACCGCGTCATTCTCGAATAGACAATAGTTTTAATTCAAAACAATATCGTTTTATATTCGAAATTTAACCAAAAATATTTTAATAGAGGGTGTTCAGTAAGAAAGCTGCTAATTTATTGTGGCTGTTTTATTTTTCAGGAATAATTGACCTTGGATAACCTTGAATAAATTTCTTGAATATTCACGACCTTGTATAATCATTCGACTCACGCGTAATTACTTAAATTTGCTGCTCGATCTTGTGAATCGTCATTTAAAGGTTATTTACAGACAACTTGCGTCTTTCGTTCTGCCCTTCTCTCGTATGGCTAAAGAACTCATTAATTTTGAGCGTCATTTATCGTACTTTTCAAAGAACATCTGACGTTGGGATGGACGAAAGATGCAGGAATTCTTCCTGAATTTTTCAATCACATCAGTCGTCACCAGTTTTCAACGGTTGTCTCATGTCTTTCCGAATTTAACACTTTTTTTACTGGGCACCCTAACCTAATGGATTGATTCAGTCTAATATAGTCACTTTGTCAAGTGTATAAGGCATCTGTGATTTGTGATTGTTTTATTTTTCTTCTGGTGAAGAATAACGGAAAGTCAACGGACAAAAATCATTATAGATGGAACTGATTACTAATCCGACAGATTCATCTAGTAATAAAAATACATTGTTTGTTAGCCGAAAAATAAAATGGCGTTATATCTACTTTGTGATACACACTTAAACAATAAATTAAAAAAAAAAGATTTTGATTGAAGTAAGCAAAAACAATGAACAAACTTCACGGCATTCTCTTAATCTATCTGATATAATCTTTTAAACAATAACGACAGGAACTCATAGTTTACTGAAAGCGCCAAATTCCAAACGTTTGAACATGATTTAATTGAAAGATTGCAGTATTTTTTATCTTTTAGTTATAGCTTTAAAAGATTGCCTTTCTCATTTCCCCTGAATTAATATTCTTTCATCACTTGATCTCGATTTAATGAAAGGTCAATTGGTTTTGTTCAAAAGAAAAAAAAAAAAGTAAAAGGGCTGGTTTTAATGTCTCCACGAAACTAGCGTCCGTTCTAAGGGTTGGTCTAATGTTTTCTATTTTATTTTTAATGTTTTCTATTTTATACAACTATTTTTTGTCTACCCAAGCATTTCAATTGTAAATGCATCAAAAATAAACTTAT